CCCAATAGGTCTTGCTATCATGATATCCACTTTTGGCTTTAATACAATTATTTTTAAGCCAGTTGTTTTTATTTCATACCTTCTTGTCTATTTGGTGCACAACCGTACCCTACAGAGAATAGGAATAGAATGAGTCTAATCAAATTCATAATGAGCTATAAAATGGTAGGTTTAATGGAATATAATGAGGATCGAGTAAAGACGTTATTAGAAAATGAATGAGATAAGACATTGTGAAGTGGTATTCATAGATCCAACAATGGACAGCAAGTTAATTTATAAGATGCCCATAAATCTGTGCAGAGCCCACGTGGTCGCATCTAAACAATAGGCTGAGGGAATGGCATATATTTACAGGTAGAAGCATGGTCTGTCAAGGCGTTCATTATTATCTTTTTCAAGATAAAGATCTAAGCCCTCATAAAAATCAGAAAAATCTCGAGCTTTCAAATTGCATATTGCTGTTCCTGCAGAATGGGGCGATTCACCTTAGTGACTACCACCATATCTACTGATCAGCTAGCGCCACCCTCCCTCCTTTTTTGATGTTAGGCTCTGAGACTATGATTATTATGGCTACCGCAAATATATTGCTTGGTACCAGGCATGTTCTTACCTCAAATTCCATCTCCCTAGCTTTCTTAATGGGTGCTTCCAATAGGCCTCCACCTACATCTTTATGAACATACTTTATATGTATGCATGCGTCCTAATGAACAGATTACTTTATAAGAAATTAAAAACTTAAAATGCGATAAGGTTTTGTGAATAGAGGAGCGAGATTCAGCAGAACACTATAGTTCGGGCTCAATGTAGGTAGTATGAGCTGAAAGTAAGGTCGGTTGGCAGGACTCAGTGTACTAAATTATCATGACAGTCATATCCATGCCTGTACAATTGGTATGTTCCTGTATAAACAGGAAGAAATATATTAATTAATTATATAGTAAACATTTGGCATTGCAGAGTAACCTGGCTACAAATATTATAAAAAGATATTAACAGAACCAACAAAGTTTTAGCATTTGGTTAACAACACTGCAGAAGGGTATTAAGTCTTACAGGTAGCCGTAAAGTAATTCAATCTATACATGATAAGAGCATAATCAATGTTATAGTTCGTATTATCAAAGAAAACATTAGGCTCAATAACTGAGTGTTATAAGGGAAATAAGAGTGGTAAACCAAGAGAACATTTGCTGCGTAAATATTTTAATCATTTTAAGTATTTTAATGACAATCTAATTTCAAGTATTGAACATGATAATTACTAAGTATTATATGTTAGTCTGGGAACTAGTGTACTTTCTGTAGTTAAATATTGAAATGCCATTGTCTCTCCACTCTACCAGCAGTTGAGATCTTTGAGGCGGGCTAGGGTGGACATGTTTATATGTTTTTCTAGGCTCCTTTTGAAACTGTCAGGCCTTTCACAGGATCTTATCTCAGAGGGTAGTTGGTTCCAAAGTTTGCAATATTTAATGGTGAAGAAGTTAGCTCTAGTGGTGAGTTTATGGGTGTTAACCTTGAGAAGGTAGTTGTGGTTGCGTAGTCCATACGATTTAGGATTAGCCCAGGTTATGGACGAGTTACTGTTACAGTGCTTTCTTATAACTTTGAATAAGAGAAATAAATTGCACTTCACTCTCCTTAACCATAAGGGCTCTAAGTCCAGTCGAATACATCTGTCAAGGTATTCTATTTGCTGACCATAGCCTAATATGCGTTTCGTGAGGAATCTTTGGACACTTTCAACTTTTTTTCTGTCTGCTGATTTAAAGCTACTGTATAAGTGGGCACAGTATTCAAGTTTGGGGCGAATGGCTAATCTGGCTTCTGGAGTGTAAAAGTTGCGTAGCACAAAGCCGGTTAGACGTTTACAATCAGATACCACCTTATTTGCATGTTCAGTAAAGGTAAGATCTGAGTATGTTATCCCGAGATCTGTGACTGTGTTCGTGTTTGAGACAAGGTCACCGTACATGTATAGACACATGCTAGGTTTCCAACGTCCGAAGTATGTTATCCCAGATTTAGCTGGATTGAACGTTAACTGCCACTTTTCACTCCAATTACATAGACTATTTAGGTCTTCTTGGATTTTACTAACAATATTCATATCATTATAGTCAAAATCATAGACAACTTTGAGGTCATCTGCAAAGAGGTATGGCTTGCCATACTTGATCATAGAGACAATATCATTTATGAATACAATGAATAGGGTAGGGCCAAGAACACTACCTTGTATCACGCCGCTGGTTATCGGTTTGGATGTTGATAAGTGATGGTTGACTTTAACTAACTGTTCTCTTCCTGTAAGAAAGGAAGTTATCCACTCAAGAAGCCTTCCACTTATTCCATAAGATAGGAGTTTCAGTATGAGTCTGTTATGTGGGACTTTATCAAAAGCTTTCCTAACATCTAGAAATAATGTTGCTGCCGAACGACCTTTGTCTACACATTCAGTAATGTGGTCGAAATAATCTAACTGGCACGTAATGCACGATCTTCTATTTAGGAAACCGTATTGGAAAGGGGATATTAAGTCATTCGAGAGCAAATACTGAACAATTTGCTTCTTTACAATCTTTTCCATCACACGTGAAACTACGGAAGTAATGTTGATGGGGCGGTAATTATCTATGTCCGCTGTAGGTCCGGTTTTGTGAATGGGTACAACGTAGGATTTCTTCCAGCTATTTGGATATGTTCCACTCCTTATCGAAGTTGAAAATATCTTGAGAAGAAGTAGATTCATGTCATTTCCACCATTTTTTAAGAGGACGTTGCTACAGGTAGCACAGAAACTGCTGTGGAGATCCATCTCCCATGTTTCCCCCCTGAAGCGGCCTTTGTATTTGCTGATTTCCTGACATGGAGAGGTGTTTTATCACCTTGCACTTATGCACTGTGTATGAGTGCCCTTTGGGGTAGGGATGTATTAGGTTCCGCATTCCCTCACTAATCTCATGAATTGACTAAGAACACACTTCCCTATACCTGATGGTTTCATAATTAGTGACATAGTGGCCAAACTAGTGTTCAAGTTGAGCGAACCACAGTTCCTGGTTGTGCTGATCAAATTCAAGTCATCTAACTTTGGAATTTGCGGAAGCATCCACCTCCGCAGAACTAAGACTTTTAATGTCAGTGCAGTGTATTCTAAAAGTAGGGGTGAAAAAAAGCTGAAAATCCATCAGAACCCGAAAATATATGGATTGTAGACAACTGTAACAAAAAGGAAGGCATAGTATCCATGAAATGAGTTGATCAATTTAGAAACCAACATTTCTGTCAAAATAATCATTCAAATTACGGACGGGAGGCTCTTAGTATTGTAGATGATTACTGGCGTTTTCAAACCTTTATTCTCGAAAGCACAGGAGAGAGCAGGCCATTCCGGAAACGTAGTCAAAGAGATGGAAAGGTCATTGATCTCTCAGTAAGCAAGCAGAGCATTAGAAATCTCACAAAAGACATGGTTCTTACTTGGTTAATCGTCCCACCCTTTTGAGTCCCTTAGTAATTCTCCATATCTGGATGGCCATTGTATACCATGTTGTAGAAGCCATACAAAGTCCCTCCAGGAAATACGACACGTTTTCCCCCATGCAGATGGAGGCTTTAGTACGACTTCGCCAGTACGTATGAATTTTACAAGAACTACCAGTGTTAGTTTCACTGCTCTGAAAATATCTGTGCTGAAATCCAAACTTGAAAATGACACAAGCTATGCAGTAACTACCCTGAGTAGGAATCACATATTGGAATTAATTTAGGAGTCAGTCATAGTAGTAGCTATAGTGTGACTAAAGTGACTTGCTGAGAAGGACTAAGAATACTTCGAAATTCTCTTCACCCCACACGAAATGGAATGATGAAATGATGTCAGCGTCCCGTATTTTAAAAAATACCTGTGAGCCTAATTTCACCTGATTTCCCTCCCGGTGGATCAGAAATACTGAGATTACATTACGGATGACTTTGAAATTCCGGCATTTGGAATGTCTCTGCGTGCAGTGCTGCTTCTTCCAAATAATCTTGAACGCTTAGAATGGACTATCAAGAGATATACTTTCTGGGTTCTCAGTCAACTTGTTCAAGAAAGCATAAACAGGTATAGGTACTTAAAAGATAAAGTTTAACATACAAAAAAGGCTTTTATGTTCAACCAGAAGTCTGATGCGTGGTGCATGTTTCACAGTTTCAATGAGTTTTTAACCAAATTCACACTTGACACTAACGCAGTATTCCATACCCCATTGTCTTACTGTGTTCATTCATTTGTATTCTAGTCACCATTCTGACTGCCCCTTGTATAAACAGAGGAATATTGGGCATTAACTGCAGTATTTTCCACTCCTTGCTCTTCTAGCTGAACACGGAGCTTCACAGTTACATGTACGGGTCCGCATTCACTTTCTCGGGTAAGGGAATTACAGCTAGTTTTATAGTGTTATGTTATCACTGCTACTACTAGTTGTAGTTGACTTAGTATCTCTGTTCAAATGATTCAGACGGACAACAATCACAATGGTCATCTCACATCACAGGATTGTTACCGCATACGACTAAGCAAATTTAATTAACCACCGATCCTAATATTCCATTTGGGGTCTACAGGACTGACGCAGGGCAGTGACGAGATATGCCCCTGGAGGTTAGAATCTTACCACGAATAAACAATCTAAGGGAGATCCTTTTTATTTACATCAGCAGGGTCAACCAATACAGGGTGCTGAATATGTGATCCTTGATAAGGTAGAGACGAACAAGTCACTATAGCAGTAAACACTAAATTGGTTATATTCCTTTATTCAAACTGCTTAGAAAGTTGAAGTCGTTTAACAGTAATCGAAAGCAACAAAAAAGGGGTACTTATTTTCTATGAGGTTGACTGGGGTCCATCTTTGTTGGACACTTTAATATCGTTTAGTTTGATCACTTCTTTAAACTCTTCACCCACTTTTTTAAATGCAGTATCAGTCACCAACACCATGATACCATTTTGTCATCCGAATGAATCTTTAAGTCACCCATGGACGAATAATGGATTAAACAGATGCTTCGTCTACACATTTTCTTCTAGTTTACTATGTATTCTGTTTGTAATCCCAGGAGTTATCCAGGCTTACATCTATCGAAAACATGGCCAACGTATAACTAGCAATCTAAGATCAAAATCCATCTTTTTATATGTTCAGCTATTTATATCACTTCTTATTCCAATTCTTTTCGTCACTCAAATTATGGTTTACGCTCTCATGAATAGCTTAGATCATGTCTATGGGTATATGACGTATTCTATTGTTGTAATGGCAGTTGTATGGCCTCTATCAGCATTGATTTTACACACAGAGTGCTCTCGTGTTCTTTTTAACTACAGAGGTAGAGGTCACGGTTTGCTGCTACTATGTTTTTGGACAGTATCATTCATACTTGTATATCTGCCTGTCGCTTCTATTACCAGTAATGATTGGTGGTGGAACCTGTCAAAGTTAGTTTCTGTATCTTTTATTCCTAATAGTATTTTGTAATATGATATAATAAACTATCATGAAAAATATTAATTGCATTCACGACTTGTTTTACGAATTTTTCATCACATTATGCCATCGTTTCTTTGTTATTTGGAGAAGGTATTACTCTTCCTCATCTACTTTCCTAGCTAAGTATGTTCTGATGATTCCACAAGCATGAAGTGATGTCTTTTGAATCCTAATTCTTCTTGATGTCATCCCCCAGTATTAAGCATAGTTTGCCAGAAATCCTGGAAGTTTCCGCTTTATTCTGTTATCTTGAGCAACACTTCATAATATTTAGTATGAATTCTTGTGTAAAGGCGGGATAGTTTCATTGTTAGTATAGTAATAATTTGCATGAGAAGACAGATTATTTTATATCTGCTGGGATATTATCAAGTTCATAGGATTGTTTTCAAGATTTTGCAATGGTACAACTAAATACTTTTCACTACCAACTTTAATGCTCACAAAAAAGATGTGTGTACCACAAAGCAGTCCACTCCATTTTAATTCACTTCCATCATTCGAAAACATGTGGATCTTTGTTTTACGTTTTGGTTTGTGTGGAGCGACTTGGTGTGAGGTAATGGGACCATGTGTTGGACAAGAGAGGTAGATAATTGATGAGGTTGCGGGGCTTCATCGATTGAGACAATCGGAACATGTACTAATAATATTAGGCCATCGTATTCGCTAACGAAAGAAAAGACGGTTTCAGTCCAAGAAATGTTTTTCCGTTTGTCTGTGACTCATGCGAAAGCTTATATTTCTAGACACTCAGAATTGAAGAATGGTTACTCTTAGTGTTACGGCTCAAATTCGTCAACACTGATGAAGATATGTTAACGTCGTGTCATCTTTCAGCTTCTATTTCTTCATTGTTGCTTTGCGTTTAATCCAATATTTTTCACCAGTCGTTTTTATTTGTTGGAAACCAAATATGGATCTTTACTTATTTATTCGAAATTCTAATGGAGTGATAATTGAGTTATCTAATCTGTAGATGAAATATTCAACCTAGCATGTCTAAATTGAAACATACCAAAGCGTACTGGCCATTAGGTCAGCCAGTATTACCTATTTTCGCATTTTAAGCAAATAATGTCATTCCTGACTGTCTGTTTAGTAATTTTCTCAAGTTTTTCTGTTGGAAAAATTTTCTAAATTTTTCATCAGTGTAACTTAATGTTATTTGAACTACATAAACATCATTCATCTTGTACATGTTACTAAAAGCTTCTCAGAATACTGTTACGGCTAGATGTAAGAGTAAATGCTTTTTAGGTGTTTGACACAAGGTTAACATTTTTGTTATTCTTCTTGTTTCAGTGATGCTAGTGTGGCGGAGTTCACCTTATGGGTTCTTTACGCCACTTCTGTATCATTTGTCTTCATCTTGGGAATGTGGGCTCCTGGCCTTCCAAGCTACTACGCAGTTTATGAGTTTCTTCAGTCGAATGGTCAAGGTTCAGTGATTGCTGAAAATGTCTGGATTCGACGTATGCGTAGATTCAAAATGGTATCACCATTTATCTGGCCAAGAAAACATAAAACGATACAAATTAGAGTGTTTTCTTGTTTTCTGTTACTTATTGTCGGACGAGCAGTCAATTTATACTCGCCTATTTTATATAAAGATATAGGTAAGTGATGGTTTCAAATATTGGAGTGATCATTTAAAATATTTCTTTTTTCCGATTAGTCACTATTATATTGTAACATTAAAAGTTGATGATTTATCGAGGCATACACCATCTTCAGAAGTGACTCTGGTGATTCCTATAAAATTAAAGAATTTCGAAGACACAACTTTGGTATTAGATAATAGTTGTCAGAATTTCTTAAAATAAGACTGTACTTTGACATCTTTGGTATTCTTTATGAAAACTGGATCATATATATATATATATATATATATATATATATATATAAGTATTTGTTTCGTAGGGATTTTGTTTGATTGCATGGAGGATTTCATCATGAGCTGCCATCAGTTAGAGAGCCATTGGAAAACCTGGGAGTACTGGACAGCTGTTTTGTCCTAGTTTGGGACTCTTCATCAGTACGCACCCACCCCACTGGGGTTCGAACCCAGGACCTTCCGGTTACAAGGCGAGCTCGTAGACCATTAAGCCACTGGGACCCGACCCAATGGCCCATGAATTCTTACTTCTGCCAATTCACGACATAGCGCAACTAATTCACGATGTCTTCTTCGTTGAGTTACTGCCTCATCTTCAACCTGCTGTACGTTACTGGTCACGGTTTCCTACTAGAACCATAGGTTAACTGCCTGAATAGGGCTAGTCGCTGGCGAGCATCAGATTAATTTTCAAGTATTGGGTTTGTAGGGATTTTGTTTGATTGCATGGAGGAGCCTGCTGTTGAAGACTATCCATACACTTCACATATATAGATCTACGTAGCAGACGTCTACTTTGCACATTATAGTTAATCGCCTCTGTCTTCAATTATAATAATAAACTTTTTCGAAGAATCGATGGGTATGGTTTGCTCATTCTCATAGTCAACTAAATTTTTAACTACGAAATCACTGTTGTTATTGTCAGCTTATAAGTTAACCTCTGCAGTGATGATTAAGCTTACTTCAGACTTCGTTTGGAGTTCACGGCATTTGAAGATCTTGTTAAAGTTAACAGGAGGCTTCTGAAGAAAACTCATGTTTATGAATATATACTGTATTGCAAACGCATACTAAGATACCAGCGTAGTTACGTTTTAAACTATGTCATAAGTGTTTCAGGAAGTAAAAACATACCTCACTGCAATAGTACTAAAATCGACGGTGTTATTCACAGAATATAAAGATAACTAGGCGCGGTAATCTGAAAGTCTGTGACTCAGTTTCTCTTTTGAGGGGTTCTTGGGTGCTCACTATTGAAGAGTTTCAAACCAAGACAAAGTAGGTCTTCAACGCTTCATGGTTTTCAAAGATTTCATAATTGATGTTGAAGTCTGTCTAGGAAATTAATTTTCATTACAGTAACTTTAATTCAATCCCAGCTATTCATTTGTCAGTTTACTTCAGAGAAGTCAGTGTAAAGATCCAAACAGAACCATATTTAGATGCTAACAAGTCGTTGCATATTTACGTACTCGGGAAAAATAAGAGGTGTGACAGACTTTATAGAAGAATTGCTGCATGAATTTACATTTTCTAAACCATAATCCAATAAACCGAAGAAAATCAACGAGACTATGGAATTCACACGAGATGGGCTAGCTTATTAGTCAAATAATTGCGTTCAGAAACATCTAGAATATTTTCAGAGTGTCTAAAGGTTTAATACCAATTCCTAGGTAGTGTGGAAATTCGGATATGTTATTGAATTCTAGGGGAGTAGTTATGTTTTCCATAAACTTCCTATGCGACAAACTCTTGTGAGTTGTTTCTCTGAAGATCTATCTAAGGCATCGTTAGGTTCATGTCGATTTATTCTCATTGACTCACCGTAGATGACTGGTGATATTATTGATGTTGACTGTCACTGCGTGCTCCTAAAGGTAGCAGCGTGTTGTTTTAAAATGTGGTAACTCGAACTGATGGACATGTTTGAAAGGTTTTATTATTAATTCATCAGGTAGATATTATCTTCTACAATTCTGTTTTAATGCCCATTTTTTAACAGCCACTTAAAACACCTTTTTATTGCGAAAAACATCTACTTAAGATCGGCAATTAATGTGTGATTCATTTGCAAATGATGAATCTGATTCTTTATCATGCATTCATTATAAGCGGAAGAAAAATTGCGATTTCTGGTCATCAGAAACCTGTTTTAGAAATTTTATTACCACTGATTTCGTTCAGTAAGGTTGAACAAAAAACACTGGTGGAGTGCATTATCAGTTAAATAAAGGTGGCCATAACACATTGTAAACTAAACTCTAATCAAGAAAGGAAAGCGAGCTGATTATTTTATTTTTTTTATATTTTTTATTTACAGCTTGATTCCACACTATATTTTTGGTACAAGTATGGAATTTTCAGCATGGATATCGGTAGCCCAAATTTTTCAGGCCGACCATAGATATCAGGTGTGCGCCGGCGTGGGCTCGAACCCTGGACCATGTGCATGGTCGGCGAGAGTCCTAACCACTGTGCCACCGACGCACACAGTTACAGAGTCACTGGTAAACCCCGAAGTACCAGACAGCTGTGAAATTGGCTAGCGGTTGCGCTGTATGTATCGCACAGTGGAAGAAGTTGGATTTCATGGGCCATTAGATCGGATTCCAGTGTCTGAATGGTCTACGAGCTCCTCTTGTAACCAGAAGGTTCAGGGTTCGAGCGCGGGTGGTAGATGCGTGTTTCTGAGGTACCCCAAATTAGGGAAAAACAACTGTTCAGTAGTCCCGGGTTTTCTGGTAGTTCTCTAACTAATGTCAGCTCGTGGCCAATCCTGCAACTAATCAAATCCCTGAAAATTAGCACTTAATAATTTAATGTTTCGACATGAATCGTTTCCTTAGCTAAATAAAGTGATATTTGCGTTTAACTTGTACATTTTGTCCTGCTATTCTACTAAACCACATATCAATACGTCAGAAATTCATAAACTTAAATCAATTCATGTTTGAGAGATGTTTTACACTGTGTTTTCTTGTGCACAGGCAAAACAAAGTACATTAACAATTACCTTTGAATTCCAGTACATAATTTTACGTCTTTTACCTAATTATTCGCTAGGTTTTACATTTTCTGCTGTTAAATTTGATCATTCTGAAATCTTTATTTCTTCTTTTAAATTTTAGTAAACAGCTTATCTGTGGCTGACAATTCCAGTAAACCTATACCTTATGAAGAGAATCTTGTTAAGAGTCGATCTCCGTACACGATGTTTAATGTTGCATCTATCAGAAATGGGCTAGTCTATCGTTGGGATTATGTTCTGTTATTCGCTTTCATACGATTACTTCAAGGATTAGGTGGCTTAGGCGCTGGTCTCATATCTTCTTTACGTTCTCAGTTATGGATTGCAGTTGATCAATTTTCAACAAGAGAACTAAGCGTTGTGCTTTTTTCACATATACAAAGGTAAGCCTTTTTTTCTCCTTTTTTTTGGAGTAAAAGCAAAGTAAAAGTCGACTGTCGTAGGTGGCCATCTATGGTCTTCTCATTCTTTTACGTTCTTAATGGAACATAGGGCTTCAAGCTATAAGCTTGGATGAATTCGCTAGCCTCATACCCAACCTTCCGTCTTTACAAGTCCCATTACCGGCTTAGAGAGGCCAAGGAGTATGTCAGCCGGAGATCAAACCTCTAACCCCATGAGGCGTGGTTGGCGAGCATTCTACCACTGTGCTACCGCTGTGTCTTCTCTGGTAATGTGAAAAAAAGGACACAACCTTTAATGCTTTTTGAGTAATAATAACACAATATCACGGTAATCATCAATATGGTGACTAGCAGTGGAATCCAGGATGCGCATTTCATCCTATTTGGGACTCGTCATCTGGATGTACCTGGATTCCCCAGTGAGGGATGATGTTCCCACCGAGGCTCGAACCCAATACCCATAGTGTCAAACGCCAAAGCGTTATCCACTAGACCACTTGGACCATGAGAGCCACCTCTTGTGCAACGGGTCATATTAATTACTTAATTGAATTAAAAAGCGGACATGTCAACCTGAGGCCGAGCACTTCGGTCCAATCAATCGACGAGAAAATCTAAAACTGAATTAAATAATTTCATCAATATCGTCTAAAGTGGTTTCAGTAAAATCACACATTAACTTTTAAAACTCTGAGTAAACTTGTGTGCATAGGATTATAGTTCTTTCTAAGCACAATATTTTGCTTGCAATTTTTAGGGAAATGTGAATAAATACATTTAATGTATGACAAAAAATTACCCTAAAATTTAGGTTGAAACAAGAATGAGTTTGTAGATAACTCACATTGATTATGTGTTCTCTTCCTCTACTTGAGCAATAATCCTGAAAAAGTAATCCAATGCTCTGAAGCGGCCACCAGTTATTATAGTGAACAGATCATTTACTTGCCTATCCTGCAATGTTTAACTCGAGATACACTCGTGAAACGTTTTTGTCCACAGCTTTTAAACAGACTTTTCAAATCTCTCAGCGCCATTTCTTTCTTAATACTGAAACGGAGGCCTTAATTTCGACTTTCTGGGTATTTGAAGACACTACTTACTAATACTCTTTTATAACCCTAGACACTAACTTATTTACTTTCTTTTGCTTTATTAGGCTTTCTCTGAAATGGCATTTATCTCGGAAAACCGGTGAAGTGTTGAGAGTTATGGACCGCGGGACAGCTAGCATTTCAAATATTCTCTCCTATCTTATATTTAATATTTTACCTACAGTATTGGATGTGATTATCGGTGTCATATATTTTGTGACAGCCTTCAATGCTTGGTATGGGCTGTTAGTTTTTATAACTATGCTTATTTATCTTGGTAAGTTGTTGTGTGTTTTCCTTGTTGCAAACTTTCAGTTGACTTTTCCTTCGCAAAAATATATTGTCATTGTGATGCCTAGCATCAATTGTCCAATAGCAGTCATTCACTACTGTCCAAATGCTATTTCACTGCTGAAACAACGGGCTGAATCGATATAATGACACAAAATTCGATTGGTTACAGGAAATCGATGAATGCAGACTTATTCACACACACACACCGAAAAGTAAATGTCGTTTTCTTATTTTTAGCATAGGTCAGTAGACAGGTTGTTTTCATACATTTTGAATATTAAAATAAGCGGCTTCCTTTTATAGCCATTTAGTTGGTCAATCAATCTGAATAGAAAGTCAAGAAAATTTAGAAACCAATCTGAATAACTTCAGATCAGGAAATGTGTGTGAACTAGCGGTCAGTAGACTACTTCTCCAGCTGTCTGGAAATAAAGCTAAATTTGACTAACCAGCTTTTATATCGTTGGCAGAGTTATGAATTGTTAGGATATGCGTCGCTGATGCCCTGTGTTCCACTCGGAAACTAAGGAACAGATTTTACTACTAGTAATAATAATATACAGTTTGTCTGATTGCCATCAGACTGTTTCTTGAAACAAGTTCCTGTCATATCATTTAAAGTGACATTTGATCAAATGAAATTTGCCCATGCTACTTATTTCTGCTGTGAAACCTGACCTCTGCTGTGTGTCTCTGGTGAGTGAACAATTTCTGTCGGTCAATGAAAAAGAATATAAAGTGTAGTATAGTGTGATTATGTATGGATAATCAAACAAGTAGTTCTGCGATGAGACCGTCTCTGGGGATTTTGGGTTGTTTACCTGTACAACTTTTTTAAATTTTTTCATGTCATTTAATGTAAACCAAAATCACATGTTCAGTGACTAGTTGAGGAATATAAGTTGTATTTATATAAATAGCGGTTTGATCACTTGAAAATATACCTTGGCTTCAGTGTCTCGCCTCCTATTGTTACATTTGGTGTCACTGCCCGCCGACAAATGAAAAGCTTATACCCTGCAGTTTTTGAAAAAGGAGATATATGCATTTTCTTCTGGCAGGACACAAAGGCTGTTGAGGAGCTGAATGGCGTTTAAGATCCATCAACGAAGAGGCTTTTACTTGGAACGCCGCTGAGAGGTTGGCCAACGGCAGTATATGACAGTGTGAGGCGAAACACCGGCGAATACGCGACAGCCGGGATCACATAAACTGCTCCCAAAGTGGGAACGCGGGTGGACGTCAGCGAGCTCCGGAACTGGACACATAAATACAAGCAAACAAAGTCTCCAGCACCAAGAAGATCGGATCAACTTCAGTCTAAAGTATTTGACGGGTCGACGAGTATGGTGGTTTGATACAGAAAATGTGTTTCAATGGGACATTATTCTCACATATTCTGACAGTTCAATACTGCATTGGCAACAGAATACTATAGGTATATTGGAACATTCTATTTCATGTCGCTTAATGTAATAAACCAAAATCACACGCTCAGTGATTGGTTAAAAATATAAACTATATATGTGTAAATAACGGTCTGATAACTTGAAAATGTACCTTGGCTTCCGTGTCTCGCCTTCTGCTGTTACAAAGGGGATGCAACTACTCATCTCAAACAATCAGTAGTATACAGCTGTAGTCAATGCTTTAAAACAAAATCAACAACTAAACAAAACAACAATACTTACTTCATCTAAAATCATAATTGGTGGATTTTTCAACAAATTTCTCGCGATAGCAACACGTTGTTTTTCTCCACCGCTTAGTTTTAAACCACGTTCACCAACAACTGTTTCATAGCCTTTGGGGAAATCTAAAATACATCGATGAATATCCGCAGCAACTGCAACCTCTTCAATATCTGATTCACTAGCTGATTGACGTCCATAGTGAATATTATAATAAATTGTATCATTGAATAAAACTGTGTCCTGGTGTTAAATGAAGGAGAAAAAACACAACAAAACCTTAGTGTTTTATTTTAGAAAAAAGGCTGTAATACTTTTAATTGTAACAAGAGGAAATTTAAAGAAATGGGAGTTAACTGGTATGCAGTTTCGCTTCGTGTCTGTAACGGCACTCGTAATCATGTTGGATATGTAACTCTGAAGGGATTCATGCCCCTTCTTAAATCCTCACTAACATCATTCATATTTTTATTTTGTTTTTATTTATTTTTGATTACAGCTTGATTTCACACAGTATATTTGGTACAAGTATGAACTTTTCAGCATGTGATATCGGTAGCCCGAATTTTTCAGGCCGACCATAGATATCAGGTGTGCTTCGGCAAGGGATCGTACCTCAGACCATGTGCATGGTCGGCGAGAGTCCTAACCACTGTACGATAGATTATAACTCCATTATGGATAAGATTTTATTTTGATAAATCACACAGTGTTATACAGTAATATTTACCGATGGCCATGTTTCGAGCACAACTTATTGCTTCTCATAATCATATCAAGTCCTAGTTAGCCTAGAGTTTGAATGATTTCTAACGGGACATAGTATCAGAGTTAAGTGTTTTGATAATCCATATGTAGGCGTATTTCTGAAACCTACTATTGGTCTTATGGGGTAACCTGGCTTATGCATTTTTATAGTACCATATATTCTACTAGCGTTATAAGTTTTAGGCATTAAATTAAACCATTTAGAGACTCACCCAATGACAGCTTCATGCTACGTATTAAATCCTCTGTAGATTTCTTAATATTATCTACAGGCTTCTTAACTTCCTTGTATAGACACGTTTCAATGTGTTCAGTGACTTTCTTGATATAGTCAGATTTATCCAAAACTACTGTAGAGTTTCCTTTATCAGCTTTTGTGAAAACGATGTTTTTATCATTTTTTCAAGATTGATTTAAGCCAATCTTTCCGCTTTTGTGAAGCTTAACTGTTCTTTCTTTTGCTTTTTAAGAGTTAATGCACACTGAGTTCGAACCTCTTCTGCTGTTGTCTTATCTATTAAACTTGATGCTATTTCTATGTTAGGGATTAATGTGTTCACTTGCACACTATACCTGTCCATTCGTAGTATTTTGTTTGATTTTCGTGTGCAAACTAAAATACTTAGAAACAGGTGTCAATCAGTGCTTTTTTCTGTCAACTTTAATGATATTTTTTCCTAAAATATACTACTTATTTCAAATTTTTTCCAAAATGCTATCGATTTTTCTCGAAATAACTTTTCTATACTGCTATGCTTCACCAAGTGTGAATGTTTATACGCATCCAAAGCAGAATAGAATGATACTTCTCTAAGTCTCAAATGCCAACTTTTGTGCACAGAAAATGTGTAAGTCATCGTATGATACTGCAATTCGTTGTAAACCATGCTACATCTTGCAAATCTACGAAGTATTTGTAAAATAGAGTGTATATTACTCAATTACATTGAAATTACTGCTAAACACTTTCATGAAGATGCCACATAAAGTAATTCTTTAGATCATTCCTTATCCTTTAGTTTGGAATTACTGATTTACTTCCGTATTCAAACTTTATTATTATTATATATTTTGGTTCCGAGAACATTTCCGTTTGACCCTGTTCTTCACGGTCCTTTTCAGTTGGCACTGCGATTGCCCATAAGCTTTCATCTCTTCCCCCACATGATCTCCTCTGTGCAACTGTCGTATTCCCCACTCCATTTCAACTCGAGTGATGGTCTGGCGCGCGATGTCATCCCAGTGGTCTTCTCAGCGTGCGTCTGATCCATCTCCGTTTCCTTCTGCACGTTTTTTGAACAATAGATTATTGGTTGATTCATTCTCGGAGTTTCCTATCGCTAAGTCTTCCTGGCCATCTGACTTGCAGTATCGAGTAAAAACAACTGTTGACAAAATTCCTCGATAGCCTATTTGAAATGCTTTTGGTGACCGTTTCTAACCTATTTAGAAGAACTGACCGACTTGACATCGACATTGAAAATCCGAATTTTATACTTTATGCTAGGTGCAGAAAATTTCCAAGCTGATTTCTGAGTGATGGAAGTCTACTTTTCCTTTCCAATTGTGGTTGTGACATCCTCATCCGTGCTGTCGCCTATAGTTGAAATGATGTCGCCTGATGGGAAAAGCGAAGGAAGTAACCTCCTTCCAAACTTCATTGCGACTGGCTGGAACCAGTTTATTCTGTCTCGTTTTGTTTGTCTAAGAACTCAACATAATTCAGTTTCAAAAAAGTATCTTAAAAGCTAACGCGCTCCTAAGCCCCTTCTAGTTTACCAGCCGGCAGTAAAGCCAGAATATTAGGCAGGTTGGAAGTTAAGGCTAGTAAACCGACCTCGTTAGAACAACACCACCGCTACAGGAACTTCAAAGCCTGAAACCCAATGGTCCACAGGGAATGCTTTATTATCCTGCTTTTCTTTAGTTTGATTTCTTTATTTGAAAGAAATAGCGTAATCATTAAGACAGATCAATATAAATCGATATTAAAAGCATTGATCGGTCAGTTAAACAATCAAAAATGAACATGATTCAGTAGGAGACTGTAGTAGAATGATCTAAAAGTGCTTTCAAGCATATGAAAGCGTTATAATCATTGATGTTGCTTAATTGTGGTAAAATAGATACAAATCCCTCTTGGTTGTAATGCTAATAAACACATCCTTACTCTTCTTATGACAAATATGTCCGGTATTTTCACTGTACTTTGTTAACAGCACTTACAATACGTGATAAGACTTTCATTCATTTGATTTATTTGCTTTCTTTTATTTTTCTATTTATTTCTAGTTTGTACAGTTCTAGTCACTGAATGGAGAGCAAAGTTTCGACGTGAAATGAATAATTTAGATAATCAAAAAAGTGCTAAGGCTGTTGATGCTGTATTAAATTTTGAGACTGTGAGTTACACCAGTTTAAAAAAATGTCAAATATATTTCATTTTATAAATACTGTATGCGTAAAGAAATTTTCGCCTATTGAAAAAAGACTTAATCTCGCAGTCTAAAAGTGTATGGTAATGTGAAGATTCACATGATTCATATAGAAATTGATTTGCTAATGTTAATACCTATTTATTCTGATAAATAGGAGGATGCCTGCAAGCCATTTGGGAGTAGCGTGATATGAGAAATTTGTCATATCTAAGATTGGACGTAGTGGTACGTTCTCTTGATGCACTTTCGGTAAACCTGAAATATAACCGGGGAATCATGGGACCTGAGGGCCTTATTTGCTCAAATAATTCAGAGCTGATAATCAATTCGTTCTTCATCTTCTTCAGTATTTGTGTTGAAGCGAAAAATTGATGTCCATGGATGTTACGTCCCATTTCACTTATTTATTCCTTTGCATTCCGAGTGGAGTATAGGGCTTCAATTTTGATGTGGTTGTGTTCTCTGAGCTGGATAGTTAATTTGCGAAGCTTTCACCACCCTACTAGGCGATATTTTCAGGGCATACTTCAATTTGAAGTGAGGTTTTAGATTTCTTCACGAGTTTATTAATGATCTCTCCTGGTCGGTGACCTTGGACGTGATTGGTTGTTTTTGTGTGTTTTCACAGCTTCTAGATTACTTGTATTGGAACTAATTGTTTCTCTGACTTGAACTTTACCCCTTTGTGTGTGAGGTCTCTTTCTTATTGTTCGATAAATTTTGTCTAATTCTATGTGTCTATTGATTGACGATTCACTGGAATACCAGGTTTCTAAAAATCCCCTAGCATTCTTGGTGTTTCCTCTGTCTAATATTTGACCGCTGGTTGTCTCAGTCGAATTGATGTCCATGGTTGTCTGTATGTAGTGATATGAGACAGTGAATATCATGTTTTTTGACGGTTCCAATACAAGTAGCCTAGAAGGTGTGAAAACACACAAAAACAACCAATCACGTTCAAGGCCACCAGGAGAGATGGTTAATAAACTCGTGGAGAAATCTAAAAGCTCACTTCAACAGATTGAAGTATGCGTTAAAGATGTCGCCTAGTAGGGTGGTGAAAGCTTCGCAAATTAACTATCCAGTCCAGAGAACACAACCACATCAAAATCATCCACCTGAGCTACAAATCCCTATCATATCTAAATCTTACGAGCGGAACAGGGCTTCAGTGTTGAGCTTTAAGGTTTTAGCAATACTGTAGTTTTATGGAGTAGGTTTGCTAGCCTCACGCCTAGCCTTCCCTCATTACCGAGCTTCTTTACTATCTGCTAAGCAAGGCTAAGGAATAAGTCAGCCGGGAATCGAACCCTGGAACATGTCAGGCGTGATTGGTGAGTATTCTACTAATGAAACACCAACACACATCATGTCAACAGGATCCGGTTAATTTAGTGTTATATCAGGTGTAGGTCATGACGAAACGCAGAGTTGCGCATGTACATGGGCCATATACGTCCATAACAGGATTAACAGGTTCGGCTGTTATGCAAAGATTAGAGCTAATAGCCTTACCCATACTTAAACCAAAACTCTGGGTACGTTATGTCAATGATGTATTTGTAATAATTAAAAGCAATGATTTGGAATACATATTTGAAGACATTAAATTCACATCGAGAGAAGAAGAATTAGACGACAAAATTCCATTCTTAGAGATATTGCAATCAAGAGAACCAACACAGGAAATTTAACAACACAAGTATGTAGAAAATCAATAAACACAGAGAAAAAAATACTCAACCATGATAACAATAACCCAGTGACTCACAGAAGAAACTGTGTGTAGAGTTCAAACACACTGTAACACTCAAGTGTTGATGAGAATGGAGGAAAAATACCAGCTTACTGTCTTCAAAAAGAATGCATGTCCCCACAATTTCCCCAGAAAGTGTTTAAACTCGAGTCATAACACTAAAATGAAACCATAATCAAAGACCACAAAAAAAAATTCACTCTACTATATAGAAAATATCTTTGGAATAACAGCTAGAATATTGAGCCCACTTGAAATAGATATAGCATACAAGCCAGCCAGTTAGCCAGAACAGTTACTTCATCTGATAGTGTGCAAACCAAAACAACCAACAAAAAAGGAAGATAAAATAAATATCATTTACAAAAGAAGCTGTATACATCGAGGTATACATTAAATCGGTCAAAGTGGTTGTTCCTTTCGAATCCGAATACAAGAACACAAATTGGTTGTAATAAAGTATGAAATATATTCTTTCATATCAATGCATGTGAATAGTTGCTGACATCAGTTTTATTGACATAATGTAGAAAATTTAAACAGAGAAAACACCATAACTGCAGTCAGGGAATTCCTAGAAGCCTGGTACTCAGGTGAATCAGCCAGCGATTAACAAAGACATTATATTATTATTATTGTTCCCTTGGGTTCCTAGTGGAACATACGGCTTCAACTACCCGTCTCCACCTGCTTTTGTCTTCCGCTGTACTTTTCACCTGCATCCATGTAAGTCCATACTGTTTCAACTCCTCTTCACACGATCTCCTCCATGTCACCCTTGCACTGACATCCCACTCTCCGCTTCCCTTTCGGCCTGGTTCCACTCGAGGAATGGCCTGATGCGCACGCGATGTCACCCAGCGGCCTCCTCAGCGAGTGAGTGTCCAATCCATCTCCACTTTCTCTGCATATTTGTTGGTTGGCGATTGGTTCTTGTTTTGTTTGTTTGTTCCCAGCCATAGTTTCTTGTTGGTGATTCTTTCCGGCCCGGCCATCTGATCTTCAGTATAGAGCCAGCGAAGACAGTTGTTGGTTGATAAAGGTCTGCAACAGGCTGTTGGAAATATTCTTTGTGACCCGCCCATCAAGTTTCTGATCCGTAAAGAAGAACTGACTTGACGTTTGTATTGAAAATCCGAATTTTATTGTTGATGCTGATTGACGAAGACAAAGACATTACTACAGACCAATTTTATCAGCTAATAAAAAGTAAATCATCATATAACAAGAAAGTTCAAATTCCAAATAATTAAAATTATGATCAATAGCTATGTAAACTAACAGCCAGTCACGTTAATGCTTACCAAGAGATGCAATTATATCACTCATGAAAATTTCAAACAGGTTCACTTTACATTATTAAAGCCTGTGCTGAAGAAGTTGTCTAGAAGGTGGACGACGAATGCTTCCCAATTCAATCAACCAGCAGCTCAGAGAACACAACTAAATCAAATTATACCTACATGGGTTGTCACTGAATTTTCTTTCTACGGTTGTAATTAATTTCTTTCGTAATTTTTAACAATTTGTGTAATGCTGAACACTATTGTGGAGCATGCGAATACATGTTTTCCGGAAATTCTCATCAAGCTTACTATAATTACATAATAAAATATCAGTCACAGACAATTGAAACAATGCAGGTCAATATAATCAGATATAATCAAGAATGTAAGCAGGACGGTAATAATAATAATAACAACAATAATAATAAACTGTGAAACTAAGATTAAAATATGCAACTGTAACACAGTATGATATTGATAATCAAGTTAGCATGATAAATAAAAAGAATTAATACATACAGTTACCAGATGTTACCGGAATAACTATTCTAGGTCGGATGTGGAGGTCATAGGAGATAGAGGAATTGAAAAAATGTTTTCTGAACACTGAAACTGGGTTGAAAATGCTTTATGGCAACTGCCTCATCTACTCTTGGGAATTGAAGGTGTACAAACTTAGGAAAGAAGCATCTTATGCTTCACAAGATATGGCAATCGGGAACTTCTGAGTGACTTTACAACTGTTCGAGAACGCGTCGATGATCTTCCGAATCTTCCTACTTAAGTAACTGTTCCTACAGCTAGTGTAATAATCCATCTTGAACGTTAAAATTGACTTTGAAAACTTTCGAGTGATGCCAGAACCAAAAATCATGAAATTAAAAATAGTCGATAGTAGGTCGTGTGACACAGTTTATTTATTTTATTTATTTTTGATTACAGCTTGATTCCACACCATATGTTTGCTACATGTGTGGAATTTTCAGCGTGGATATCGGTAGCCCGAAATTCGCAGGCCTACCATAGATATCAGGTGTGCGTCTGCGTGTGCTCGAACCTCGGACCATGTGCATGGTCGGCGAGATTCCTAACCACTGTGCGTCGGTGGCATCAAGCTGTAATCAAAAATAAATAAATTAAAAATAGGTATTTTCGATAATGGCTGATCAAGTTTAGCTCTGAACTTCACCATTGAACTAGTGTCATTTGGTGATTACTTTCGTACCGGCGGGAAGTATTCAGTGGTCAGTATATATTTCGGACAGTTTTAAGGGTTACATGTTCAGTGACCAACTAAGTTTCTCTATACAGTAATGAACTATTGATTTTTTAATGAATCGTTTTCGTTCCGGTGGAACGTAGGGATTCAAGCTTGAGGTTGCCGGCCTCACGTCCAACCTTCTCTGTTTACTGAAAGTACTACCGGCTAGGCGAGGTGACAGGAGTGAGTCGACAGAGAACCGAATCCCAGACCAAGTGTAGCGTGGTTGGCGAGTATCCCATCACTGAACCACCAATGCGCACTATGATATATTGATAGTGAGTTAAAATTCGAACTGTTTGCATGATATAATGACTACTTGCTGAGCACACACTGAATCATATAATCGCAAATATTACGGATTATCTTAAATTCTACCTTGACGTATGCTGCTCTAAAAAGATGCTATTCAAAAGGTTTGGTTATTTTCCTTCTCCTCATCTCGAAAACCTACGAAGAGGAAAAGGCTGGCTGTATGAGTCCAAAGACAATTCTGGCATGAAAAAGATAGACATCCTGATTAAATTAGAAATCCAAAGGCTGAACACCATTCATAACCAAAGACCCTTGTCTTGTAAAACTCCTAGAAACTTGTGGGAACTTTTCAGTGAGATTACGGGTTGTGGAAAGCAATGTATTAATCTCCCCTCTGGTGATATGAATACTCTCAACAAATGTTTTATACGTTCTCCTCAAGATGCTTTTGTCCTTAATATAACAATTAACAAGGTCAATGACTTTCATGGTTTTGACATTCTTGATGTTTTTAAGTGTTTGAAATCTCTAAAACCCTCCCAGAGCCTAGGTTCTAATCGTATACTTGCTGTTGTCCTCAGGAGATGTGCTGATGTCTTATGTTACCCAGTTACAAATATATTCAATACTTCCTTCTCCACTAGTGTTTTACCTACTGCACGGAAAGACATTAAAATCATCCCTGTAGCTAAATCAGGTCCTGTTAATAATGTTAAATTTCGACCTATTGTAATTATCTCTCCTTTTTTGAAATTAGTGGAGAAATTACCCTTACTTAACCTTGTACCCTATTTAAAAGTTTTAACGATTCCGAACAGTTTGCTTATAGGTAGGGAACAAGTACTTTGGGTGCTGCAGTTGTAGTGCATGATAACAGTGTGTCCTCAGAAAAATGGGCCAAATATGTACGTTGTACTTTCCTCGACTACACATCTGCTTTTGACTCAGTACTTAGATGCTTTTTGTTAAATAAGGTTCCCCTTATGCAAACTAAGTCCTGGACTGTTAAGTGGTTGCATTTTTATTTCTTATATAGAATGTAGTATGCTGTGCATAAGGGTGCCTTGTTCACCGAAGCTGGTGTTCCTCAGACTGCTGTTCTCTCCCCCTTTTCTTTTTTCTTTTGTATTACATGACTTACGTGTTTCTAATGAAATCAACTTGGTCTAATACGCTGGCGATCTGACCATCTCGCTTCCTGTCAAGACCCACTCAGACTATTGCAAACTTAATAGCTTTTTGTCAGACATCAGTCAGTGGTATAAGCTAAAAAGTGGTCTTACGTTAAATCCCTCAAAATACCAGACTGTTAACTTCTCCTCTACAACGACTGGTTAGTACACAGGATGCTTGTAGCAGAGAGGAAACTGTAATAAAAACTAGGTCTAAAACAAAATACATTTGTATAGTTCTATCTTCTGGCCTTAGTTAGTTATTCCATATTTTATCGATCTCTAAGAAAATATCCCGTCTTACTTACTACATTAAGAAGAGCTTAAAGAATCTGGAATCACTCAACCTCTGCTTTAACAATTTGTTAACTCGTGTATCTTATCTATTATACTTTACTGGTCCCCTGCCCTTAGTCTTTCTTGGTCTAATGAAAAAGTACTACGTCATATTGAGAAGGGTATTCAAGGTTGTTAGTAGGGCAAGTGGTGTGCAACTTAGTCAGGCGGCTTGTAACTACATTAATGGATAGATATGTGAATATCTCATACGAGAAATGGTCTAAATGTATACCGTCTGACCCTTAACAACCCATCCTATATTCTCAATTCTCCCCGCCTTGTATCTCATCTGGTAGGACTAGAAGTCATCACAAAAGATAATATGCTCGTGCTAGTGAGTTTAGGAAGTTAACGATACCATATTTGGCCAGCCCGTGTTTGATGTTATAGAGACAATGTGAAGTGTGAAACTTGTGATTTACTATGTTGTTAGAGAAATAATTGGACCTTTTATTATCTCCTATTTCCAATGTAAGGTGACACTATTATCTCAGTGTTAACTGACAATCTTAGCTACTAACATTATCATTATTTTACAATATTTTTGCATATATATATATATATATATATATATATATATATATGACTTCACTGTCACTACAAATACCAAATAAGAATTGCCAATCACAATCCTGTAATATTATCTTTATAATTGTTTTTAATATTATTCGATCAAATTAGATGCACTATTGTACCAAATGCTTAAAATTCCACACTGTATCATTAGTAATGTTTTGGAACAAAGTAAATTATTATTACCGTTATTATTAGATACTTTTTTGATATATTTATAGATAAAAATATATTGGGCTGTTACTACAATGATTTTGTCTTCTGAAAAGAAATACATTATTGTAATTATATATATACAGGCATTATAATTGTGAAACACTTAGTTCCCTCTATGGATTAAGACAAAGCAATAAGAAGACGTAATTTGTCTGAATCGTGTTTAGTGTATTATATTTGCGCAGCGCTTTTCGAACCATTTGATCACACACACACACGAACTTATCATGGGAATATATATGAAATTTTAAAGAGTTAAAAGGTGAGAAAATGGAGGACATATTGAAGGTCAAAATAAAAATGAAGATCACTAAACCAAATAACAAGTAATAGTGCATCTACCCTTGCTGGTATCAAAACAAAGTTTACCAAAGAAGGTTTAATGTAATGACGAACTGTTTTTGAACACAAAAATGTGTGCTGAACTTCCTAATTGCTAAGGCTTCCACAAACTGTAGGATACGCCCAAATACGTTTATGGAAAGATTTAAAAGACGTGGAAACATCAATTTTATGTCCTGCCTCTATAGTATGTTTTGCAATAGAGGAACTAGGTCTCCTGTTCTCACCATTGGTGGGTTCTGGGGATTCTATTCGCTTCTGGAGTCCTCTCTATTTATGTGTGGCCACTCGTCCAACTGGTAAATACATTGAAATGTCATCATTTTTCGCATGTTCAGAGAGCTTAGATGGATATATTGGCTTCATATTCTCAATAATTATGACATTAGCTGCATAAAAAGTCTTTTTAACAGCAGCGTTCAATCTTTGTCTAGTTGTCAAGCTGCTATGTGATCCCCCATTGAGACAAATTACGTCTTCTTAATAATTTGTCTAAATTATGGTTTGTTAAGTCAACTGTATTGTCCTCCCATTATCCTCATCCATTTTCAAAACATGAAAAATCTCTATGCAGTGTTCTTTATTTTTGATTCCTCGATATCAACTGAAAGTCACATATTTTGGCTGCAGGATTTCATCATGAGCTGACATCAGTTAGAGAACCATTGGAAAACCTGCAGGGAGTACCGGACAGCTGTTTCATCCTAGTTTGGGACTTTCTAACCGATGTCAGCTCATGATGAAATCCTCCAACCAATCAAACAAATCCCTATATACCCATGCTTGAAAATCATTGAGTTGCTCACTAGCAACTGGCCGTATTCACGTAGGTTCTAGTGGGAGGTCGTAACCAGTAGGGTGCAGCAGGTCGGGTGTGAGAACAACCACTCGCCGAAGACCTTGGCTAGCGGTCGCGCTATATCGTGAATCGGAAGAAGTTTTAATTCATGGACTGGCCATTGGATCGGGTCCCAGTGGCTTAATGGTCTACGAACTCGCTGGCCTTGTATCCAGAAGGTCATGTGTTCTAACCGTGGCAATGGGGCGTACTGTTGAAGAGTCCCAAACTAGAATGAGATATGTCCAATACTCCCTGCAGGTTTTCCAATGGTTCTCTAACCGACGTCACCTCATGATGAAATCCTGTAACCAATCAGTTAAATACCTACAAACCAATACTTAAAAGTTATACATTTTGTAAAAAAAAAATAAAATAACACAAAGCTAATTTACTGAATAACTTATATTTTTCAATATCTATGTTTTATTCACTTCCTCTTCATCACAGGTTAAATATTATAATGCTGAACAATTTGAAGTAAATCGATATAATGAAGCATTTGTAGAATATCAAAAAGCTGATTGGTGGAATTCATTTACTTTGAATGTTCTTAATACTGTGCAAAATATCACTATTAGTATTGGATTTATGGCTGGTGTACTGTTGTGCGCTCGAGATGTTGTCGATGAAAAGTTGACAGTTGGACATTTTGTCCTATTTTGTACGTATATTATTCAACTTTATTCACCATTAAGTATATTTGGTACATATTACAGGTAAGTGAAGTTATATAATGGCTGTTTTTCTTTATCAATATCTAAATGATTTTGTGCATCATATAGTTATGGACTGTTTTAATGTTGGTTTTATTTTTTCTCTTTCAATAAGTTAATCATTCCCATTGTGCGTTGATAGCACAGCGTTAGAATGCTAGCCTACCACGCCTCGTGTGGTCCTCTGGGTCCAATCCCTGGCCGACAAACTCCTTGACCCCACTAAGCTGGTAATGGGACTGGTAAAGAGATTAGGTTGGGCATCAGGCTACCAACCCCATCCAGTAAGAATAAACACCACTGCTACCGAAACTGCAAGCCTCTAGCTTGAAGCACTATGTTCCATTAGGAACGTAAAGGAGTAAAATCAATAATAATTAAGTATTGTGCTTACCGAAAGTATCCATTGAGTCATGAAGAAAATAAAAGACAATTCAGCGAATGAAATTTTCTCTATCGATGAAATCATCTTCAGAGGCTGTACAGTCGGCGGGGAACATAATATTTAGCGAAGAAACACTTTTCAACAGATTTATTATCAAGTTTTTAAGAAACTGTATTCCGTAAAGAAATTTAAACAAAGCTGTGAATACCTATGACATTAAGAATAATAATTATATAGAATGTGATTAAAGTCTTTGTGATTTTAATCACAGTTATATATCAAGTAATAAAACAAATAATGACATATGTACAGTAGTTCACAGAATGCATACGTAGGCAACTGAAACAACACGTAATATTATTATTGTTATTTCCTTTAATTCCTAGAGTAACATAGAGCTTCAGCCGCACGTCTCCATTGCGTTCGCCTCTCCGCCAGCGTTTTCACCTGGCTCCACGTCTGACCACATGCTGTCATCTCCTCTTCGACCGAAAGCTGCTACCTTGACGTGGTGGTCGGGCTTGAACACCGCAATGACCTAATCAAGCTATACTGGCTGAGACTTATGTCTCTTGAGGTTCTACCATGCCAGGCAGGTTGTTTGGATAGCGGTTAAACAAAAAGCAGCTACCCAATCCAACATCATGTCCAATACAAAATTACAAAATTTCATGCCGGATCGGCCGTGGCCCGGATTAACAACGACCGCGCTTCCTGCTGCCGTGTCACAGGGCGGGAGTGATAAATCTGCTACTGAGACACACCAAACAAAAAAGAACGAACAAAAACAGGCCGCGTGTGACCGGCCTCAAGCAGTTGTCCCCTGGGCTCTGCGGTCACGCAACCAACTTCCACGGTGTGGGCAGCCGGGAAGTAACAATCGCCCTCACAATCCGAAATGCACACGAAACCTCTCTATTACTCACTCATCTTTGTCTTCATCTTCATCTCTATCATCTTGCCTTCCTTCCACTGATGCAACTCCTCGACTTGATAGCTCTCCACTTCCTCTCCACTCTGCGTCCACTAAAAACGATGGAAGCCAAAAAACCACCACCGACAGCCTCTTAAAGCCGCGCCACCAATTTCATATAGGAGCTCTTAATGTTAGGACACTTTGCCAAATAGGACAACAAGCATCACTAGCCAAGACCCTGGCATCACGAGCCATTGATGTATGCTGTGTTTCAGAAACACGCATACAAGACCCAAGTGTGGTTATTCACCTAACCCCACCTGGCCAACAGGTTGAATCTGCAAAATTCACCCTGAGGGTGTCAGGAGATGCCACAGCTAGTTCACGAGGATTAGCTGGCGTAGGGATAGCTTTGAGTACTAGGGCAGAAAAGACATTGCTTGACTGGATCCCGGTAGATAGCCGAATGTGTGCTGTCCGCCTGAACGGATCAGTAAGAAGGAGGAAGGACTGCACTACTCGCCGATGCCTTTTCGTAATCTCCGCCTACGCCCCCACTGACTGCAGTTCAGATGAAACGAAGGATGAGTTCTACCAAAAGCTGTCTAGTTTGGTGGAAAGGCTAAACGCTCAGACATAGTCGTTCTAGCTGGTGACTTTAACGCTCAAGTAGGGAAATTGTGTCAATCTGAGAAGGATGTCGGTGGCACCTATGGAGCTCCGTGCCAGCGAACCGACAACGGTGACCGTCTCCTACAGTTCTGCTCTGATAATCATTTGTTTCTTGTAAGCACTAACTTCAAACACAAGGAGAGACACTGTTTGACTTGGAGACCCCCTTCATCAAACCAACGCTGGACACAAATAGACCACATAGCAATAAGCTATCGTTGGCGTGGGTCGGTAGGAGATTGTCGCTCCTTCTGGAACACGTGCGTAGATACCGACCATGCACTGGTCCGCGCTCGGGTGTGCTTACGACTGAACGGACGTAGGAAACAGCTGGCGGTAAAACCATCACGTCCCCAGCTCGATCAGGAAACTAAATCCGTATTTCAGGAAGAACTAGCTAAACACATATCTGTGTTCGACAGCTGTGCTCACCCTGAAGAAGCTTGGAAAAATATCCAGGCAGCCATAGATACAGCTGTAAAAGCTGTGAATAAGGTAAACCCAAAGGTGAGTAAAAACCACTGGATCTCCACCGCCTCATCCGAACTGATAGATGCTAGAAGACTTATTCCGGCGAGCTCCGAATTCAATGAGGAGCGAAAGCTGCACAAGAGGAAACTTACGAAAAGTCTCCGCAAGGACCGTGAACAGTGGTGGGCGACAAAAGCCAAAGAGATGGAGAAAGCTTCGAGGATAGGCAACACCAGGCAACTCTTTGGACTCATCAGGGAAACGGGTGGGAGAAGACAAATCATTAGTGAGACAATCTCGGAAAAAAATGGCACTATAATTAGCTCCAGGATAGACGACTGGATCGTTGGAAAGAGCATTATGAGGAGCAGTTTAATTTGCCCACAGCCACGCTCAACCTTCCGAGCATCCAACACCTCCCTGAATGGGATATAGACACAGGTCCTCCGTCACTAACTGAGGTTACTAAAGCTGTCACCAATCTGAAACTAGGCAAAGCAGCGGGACCTGATGGAATGACTCCAGAGGTATTTAAGTACGGTGGAGACAGCTTACTGTCCGGATTAACTGAGGTACTAGGCAGCGTCTGGGAATCAGAAGAAGTCCCATCGGGTTGGTGTAAGTCACTGATTATCCCCATATACAAGAAGGGAGACAAGTCTTCCTGTGATAATCACAGAGGGATTAGCTTGACTAATATAGTATCTAAAGTCTTAGGCTCAATAATCATGCGTAGACTGAGTGGTGCTCGGGAAGCACAAACACGAGAGAGCCAGGCAGGCTTTAGACCAGGAAGAGGGTGTATTGATCATATCTTCACCCTCCGACAGATTCTAGAACATAGGCATTCCTACCGGCGTCCAACAGTCATTATATTTCTTGACCTAAAGGCAGCATTCGACTCTGTCGATCGGGAAGTTCTCTGGAGATGCTTGGCTGTAAAGGGAATTCCAAGAAAATATATTGCACTGATTAAGGCACTCTATTCGTACTCATACAGCCAGGTGAGGGCTTACGGCGAGCTGTCATCTGAACTGATGACGACCAGTGGTGTCCGTCAAGGATGCCCATTATCTCCTTTTCTATTCAACTTCATCATAGATGTGTTAATGGACTTAACCCTAGGTGACTTCAGCGACTCAGGGATTGACTTGCTACCGGGGAATAATCTCGTTGACTTGGAATATGCAGACGATATAGTCCTTCTAGGCGAAGACGCTGACGAAATGCAGAGTCTTCTAAACACCTTGAGCCGCAATCTACGAATGTTTGGCATGCGATTCGCTCCCGCCAAATGCAAGATGATGTTACAGGACTGGACTACATCGACGCCTAGTTTAAAAATAGGAAGTGAAGTGGTAGAGCACGTTGACCGCTTCACTTATTTGGGAAGTACCATCAGCCCCAACGGGCTGATCTCTGACGAAATCTCAGCACGAATACAAGGGGCTCGTTTCGCATTTGTTAGTTTACGCCGACTCTGGCGTAGACGAGATGTTCGACTATCGACCAAAGGGCGGGTGTACTGCTCATCAGTCCGCTCCGTCCTCCTTTATGGTTGTGAGACCTGGCCACTGAGAGTGGAAGACATGAAAAGACTAGCTGTCTTTGATCATAGGTGCCTGCGTTCTATTTCCCGTGTAAAGTGGCATAATAAGGTGAGCAACATGGAGGTTAGGCGTAGAGTTCTAGGTAAACAGGGGAAATCAATCGACGAAGTCGTGAAGCTACAAAGACTGAGATGGTTAGGACATGTGTTACGTATGCCAAGCCATCGCCTCCCTCGACGAGCAATGTTAGCGGATATAGGGTCAGGCTGGAAAAAAGCTAGCGGCGGTCAAACAAAAACTTGGCATCAGTCAATGAAATCCACAACAGTTGGTCTAAGCCACGTAGGAAGGTGTAGACTTCCAGGCTGGGGTCCTCGGGACGGTAAAAATCTATGGTTGGAAACAATTGGTGACATGGCTCAAAATCGTTCTCAGTGGCGCAGATGCATCCACTCCCTGTGACTTATGATCTTCAATGAAACTGTTTTGTATTTCTTTATTACTCCTTTGTCTCACACCTCTGCTCACTGTTTCTATTATGCTTTTCTTGTACTTTCTTCTCTTGCTTCGCGTGCTACACGGAATGTGGCGACTTGAACTTCCGCACATTTGTGCAAAGTTCTATGTCGAAAACAGACAGACAGACAGACATCTCCTCTTCACTTCACCTCCTCCAAGTCACCCTAGCACTACCGACCAACTCGCCGCTTCCCTTTTGAGTTCCACTCGAGCAATGGCTTGTCTAGTGATGTCACTTGATGGTTTCCTCAGAGTATGGCCAATCCATCTTCATTTCTTCCTGCTTATTTGTTGCACACTTGGTTCCTGCTGGGTTGGTTCGTTCATTGCCAGATATCCCTGCCTGTTGCTGATCTTTTCTGGCCGGCCATATGATCTTGAGTAGTATTGAGCGAAGACAACTGTTGATGGAGGTGTGTAGTTTGTTGGAAGTGCTGTCAATGACGCACCAAGTCTCTGATTCGTGTGGAGTAGCACTGACTGACTTCAC